TCCTGCTGTGGATCCTGTTGGAGCTAAGAAAAATTCAGGGGAATTTTTCCAGTCCCTCAAGTGAAGATTTCCAAAGATGTTAGAATTTAACAAAAAATCACACATGCATGCTGAAATTAAAAGTCTTATCTCCATAAATCATCTTTAATTATCATAGCAATGCCAGTATTCCAGGAAAAGAAGAATTTTCACTTTTGTGGAAAAGACAAAAATAGAAAGCCATTACCACAACAACCAAAAACAACTGAAATATTCTCTAAGTTACATAAGGCTGGGATTTTTTTGACTGACACTCTCAAGAACACCAGTTCCTTGTGTGAAGCCAAACTACACTTTTATAAACTGCAGCAACCTTCAACACGAGTACTTATTCCTACTAGCTGAAAAAACAGACTTGACTTCAGCAACTCTCACTGCTCTGGAGAAAGGAGGATGATGCATTCAGCTTAATCACCCTTAAAAACATATTGACCTTTTTAAATTCATATCACTGCAAGTCCATTTTAAACAAATAAATTCTTGAGAAATATATCCACATTTTATTGTAGAAACCAACTGAAAGCCAAATTCTTACTCATTTTATGAAGGGATGCAGAGGCAAATAGTGCTCTCTTAAAAGCGTTACCTAATTTGTGCACAAAATTGCTTTAACTTCCCATTTTCAAAGCATTATCTGGAGACTCTCTAAAGGACACTACCAGTAAGCACTTTAGTGGCCGATTCAGAAGACAGAAAGGATCCATGTGAGCTTCAGAGCCTAACACCTTGAATTTTGGTGAAATGTGGCTGGACCCAATATTTGGCTCCTTTTTCAAAATCCCACTGTAAAACCTCAGCAGGACCTCAGCAGAATTAAAAAAGTTACTAAGCATGGAAGAAACATGACACCCTGAGGTAACCCAATGCACAGCTGACAAGGCTGGTAAAATGTGATTTGGACTGAAGCAGTGCAGAAGTTAAAGTCTGTACTGAGCCTGAAATAAAACCTCCTGCTTGGGAAGCCACACACAAACCTTTTCACTGCTGAGGCACATGGCATCACACTACAGGGAGCAATCAGCTCTACAGCCTTGAGAGGGTGAAAAGAAACAGCCAGCCTCTTCACTATTCCCAACTTCAGACTTCCAGGGACAGGAGAGGCTGGAAAAATGAAGCAAAACCAAGAAGCCACAGGAGACAAGGACATTGCTCTTCAGGACTCCTTCTACAAGCCTGTGACCTGCCCTACATTGATACAGCACAATCCTCCTGAAGCAACAAATCTTGACAAACGTTTTAAGACACATGTGGTGGGGAAAGGGCTGTTTTCACTGGGAAGAAGCCAAGTTGATACTTCCCATATGGTGTGATCATTAATAGCATGTCTATATGGTGAAGACATTTCCTGCATAACCTCCTCAAAATGTACAGAGATAACAGTGGGGGAAGGGAAACAACACTATTCAAAACCAGGTCCTCAGATCCTAACCAGCAAGGAGGGCCTTGTTGAAGCAGTGGTGGTCAATGGCAGCCTTGGCTGCAGTGATCATGAGATGGTGGAGTTCAGGATCCTGTGTGGAAGGAACAAAATACCCAGCAGGACCAGAACCCTGGACTTCCACAGGGCAAACTTTGGTCTCCTCAATCAACTGTTAAGGGAAATCCTCATGGGACAGGGTGCTAGAAGATAAAGGAGCTCAAGATAGCTGGTCAACATTCAAGGACCACTTCTTGCAAGCACAGGATCAGAGCGTCCCAATGGTTAGGAAATCTAGTAAGGGTGCTAGGAGACCTGCATGGTTAAAGAAGGAACTACTGGGCAAACTTAAGTGGAAAAGGAAAATCTACAGATCATGGAAGGAGGGGCTGGTCACGTGGGAGGAATATAGGACTGTTGTCAGAGGATGTAGGGAGGCAATTAGGAAAGCTAAGGCCTCCTTGGAACTTAACCTTGCAAGTCAGGTTAAGGATAATAGAAAGGGCTTTTTCAAATACATAGCTAGCAAAACTAGCACTAGAGGCAATATTGGCCCATTGAGGAATGAGGTGGGAGCCCTGGTGACAGAGGATATAAAGAAGGCAGAGGTGCTGAATGCCTTCTTTGCCTCTGTCTTCACTCCTGCAGGGTCTCCCTATGAGCCCCAGATTCATATAGCCCCAGAAGAAGTCAAGATAGAGGAAGAGTTTGACATGGTAGATGAGGATTGGGTTAGGGATCAGTTGAGTAATCTGGACATCCATAAATCAATGGGTCCAGATGGAATGCACCCAAGGGTGCTGAGGGAGCTGGCGGAGGTCATTGCTAGGCCACTCTCCATCATCTTCAGTAAATCATGGGCAACAGGTGAGGTGCCTGAGGACTGGAGGATAGCAAATGTCACTCCAGTCTACAAGAAGGGCAAGAAGGAGGACCCGGGTAACTATAGACCGGTCAGCCTCACCTCCATCCCTGGAAAGGTGATGGAACAACTTGTTCTTGTCACTATCTCCAGGCACATCAAGGACATGGGGGTCATCAAGAGCAGTCAACATGGTTTTATCAAGGGTAAATCATGTTTGACTAACCTCATAGCCTTCTATGAGGAAATTACTAGGTGGATAGATGATGGTAGAGCGGTAGATGTGGTTTATCTTGATTTCAGTAAAGCATTTGACACCGTCTCCCACAGCATCCTTGTAGAAAAGTTGATCAGGTATGGGTTTGGTGATCAGGAAGTGAGGTGGATTAGGAACTGGTTGAAAGGAAGGAGTCAGAGAGTTGTAGTCAATGGGGCAGAATCTGGTTGGAGGTGTGTGACTAGTGGAGTCCCACAGGGGTCGGTACTGGGACCGGTGTTGTTCAACATCTTCATCAACGACCTGGATGAGGGTATAGAATGTACCCTCAGCAAGTTTGCTGATGACACTAAGCTGGGAGGAGTGGCTGACACACCAGAAGGCTGTGCTGCCATTCAGAGAGACTTAGATAGGTTGGAGAGTTGGGCGGGGAGAAACATGATGAAATTCAACAAGGGGAAGTGCAGAGTTTTACATTTGGGGAAGAACAACACCATGTCCCAGTACAGGTTGGGGGCTGAACTGCTGGAGAGTAGTGTAGGTGAAAGAGACCTGGGGGTCCTGGTAGACAGGAGGATGACCATGAGCCAGCAATGTGCCCTTGTGGCCAAGAAGGCCAATGGCATCCTGGGGTGCATTAGAAAGGGTGTGGTTAGTAGGTCAAGAGAGGTTCTCCTCCCCCTCTATTCTGCATTGGTGAGGCCACATCTGGAGTATTGTGTCCAGTTCTGGGCCCCTCAGTTCAAAAAGGACAGGGAACTGCTCGAAAGAGTCCAGCGCAGAGCTACGAAGATGATTAGGGGAGTGGAACATCTCCCTTATGAGGAAAGGCTGAGGGAGCTGGGTCTCTTTAGCTTGGAGAAAAGGAGACTGAGGGGTGACCTCATCAATGTTTACAAATATGTAAGGGGTGAGTGTCAGGGGGACGGAGTTAGGCTTTTCTCAGTGATGACCAGTGATAGGACAAGGGGTAATGGGTGTAAATTGGAGCATAGGAAGTTCAAGGTGAATATCCGAAAAAATTTTTTTACTGTAAGAGTGACAGAGCACTGGAACAGACTGCCCAGGGAGGTTGTGGAGTCTCCCTCACTGGAGACATTCAAAACCCACCTGGATGAGTTCCTGTGTGATGTACTCTAGGTGACCCTGCTCTGGCAGGGGGGTTGGACTAGATGATCTCTCGAGGTCCCTTCCAGCCCTAAGATTCTATGATTCTATGATTCTATGATCCTATCTCCCAAAAAAAAAAAAGACACAAAACCAGCATTCCCCCTTCTATGCAAAGCACTGGTTATATGCACAGTGGACTTCAGGGAAGACACAAATTTGCCTTCCATTCCAGCCTCTACCTATAAAGCATATTTGCCACTCACTACTTCCTCAAGGCTTTGTACTTAGAAAGAAGTTTAGAAAGACAAAGAACTGAAAAGAGATTGAAAGCTTGAATTATTGCTGACACTGCCCTCATGCATCATAATACAATAGGGAACTTTATAGATGCTCCTGTTTCACACTTAGGTTTTCTCTTCAGCATCGATTCTTCACTCGCATTTCAAGCCCAAAAGGAGTACATAGCATCTTCACCTGACCCAGAGCTGCAGTGATCTTGGCTGCTCTAAAAGGAGAGCTTGCAGCAGCACAGCACACACATCCTCCTAAAGAAGACGGGGATACAAAAAATTGATTCTTATGAGGCTTCATTTGCTGTGACTCAAAAGGTTTAAAGAGAATCTTACTTTAATATCTGGAAATTGGCCAAGATAGGTATCCATGGTCAGAAGCGCCTGATCCACCAGCTTCTGATGGAAATCCGTCCAGAGGAGATCATTGTTCTGAAAAACAAAAGTAACGAGCTAACAATTAAGAACAGAGCCCTGCATTTCTGTTCTTCTTCACGAGTACTACAGCCAACAATTTCAGTGCTCCAGAGCTCTTAAGAAATAGTAATTTCTTCAGAAAAAACTAAGGAGCAGGTAAATGAGCAGAAAGGAGAGGTCACGACAGATGTAGATAGAGAGAAGAAAGCCTGATGTTGCTAATTCAGGTGATCTCTCCAAGGATACAGTGCCCTTCGTGAACCTTCCTTTAGGGCCTTTCTTTCCCCCTCATAGTGCTAACCCAAGTCCGTACAATGGAAGGGAAGAAGAAGGTCAGGCTGGCTTTACCTCCTTCTCCCAGTAGACACAAAAATGAGACACCTGACACCATAAGGCACCATTTTCTGCTTTTTGTTACCACACAACGAACGATATCTGTGGTGGTCCTGCTTTGACAGGAGAGTTGGACTCCAAAATCTCCAGAAGTCCATTTCAACCCTTACCATTCTGTCATTCTGTGACTAACAGAAAGCTATTCCAGCCATATTCAGCCCTCACACCACCTGCCTCCACAGACCAATGGAAGTCACACCCAAGGTTTGTGCTCTAATCTGTGCATGCTTTATCCTAGATCTTATCTCAGACACAGTAACTTCCCATCAAAACCTTGGTTTAGGTGAAAATTGCCCCTCTCTCCAGTTTTTCCACTTGAACCAAGGTTTTTGACTAAACTACTCCGAAAAAGGTTGGATTTTTTTTTTAATAGCAGTTTTATCCCACCTCTCTTTTTCGTGAAAAAGAAAAAAGAGAGAAATATAAAACAAAGGCATAAAAGGGGGAGGGAGGCAGCTGGAAGCATTCCT